GGAGTCTCAAAGTAAAAAAAAGTCCAGGACATGACCTTATACCAGTTATTGCTTTAAAAAATTTTCCTAGAAAAGCTCTCGTTTACATTACGTCTATTTTTAATAGCTGTCTACGCACTGGATATTTTCCCGAAACGTGGAAGAAAGCTGAACTCGTAGTAATTCATAAGCATGGTAAAAACGCTAAACAAGTCAGTAGCTATAGACCGATAAGTTTATTACCCATAGTTGGAAAATTACTAGAGTCAGTCATAAAAAGACATCTTGCATCCTTTTTACAATGTAATAGCATTATTCCTGATTTTCAATTTGGTTTTCAGTATAGTCATTCCACTTCACACCAACTGGCAAGATTATCAGAATTCATAGTAAATGGATTTGAAATGAAAAAACATACTCTTGTCACGTTTTTAGACTTTCAACAAGCGTTTGATAAGGTTTGGCATTGTGGTCTATTGTACAAGCTAAAGAAAGTGGACACGCCCAAATATTTATATGACGTTCTGAGCTCATTCCTCAACGGCAGAACATTTACAGTTAGAATAAATAATATAAATTCAACCTTAAGACAAATCCATGCCGGCACCCCACAAGGTTCTGTTCTTTCTCCCATACTTTTTAACTTTTATGTTCACGACATTATCCAATCCACAAACACCTCCATAGCTATGTTTGCCGACGATACAGCTGTCTTTTCCCAACACAATGATATATTAATAGCCAGAAATACACTGCAGTCTTACCTAGTAAATCTAGTACAATATTTAAAAAATGGATGATTTGTCTCAACACCGAAAAATGTACAGCAAAGATTTTTACTCTTAGACGTCCCTCAGACCCACCTGAACTGATTCTCAAAAATAAAGAACTAAAATGGAACCCAGCTAGTGAAGCAGTAAAATACCTCGGAGTTTATCTGGACCGCCGCCTTACGTGGAATTACCATATAAATAATAAACTGACCCAAACATACGCAAGGTTAGCAATGTTATATCCCATAGTAAATAGAAAATCTAGTTTAAAACCAGAGACAACTGTTCTTATTCATAAAACCATACTAAGACCCTTGCTAATGTACGGATGTGAAGTCTGGGGAGCCGCTTCAGCTATGAAAAGAAAAAAACTACAATCCTTTCAAAACAAGGTATTAAGAATAGCAGTAGATGCCCCTGGTTCATAAGAAACACTCAACTACATCGAGAACTAAAATTGGAAACAATAGATGAATTCATCAAAAAACGATTTAAAAAATTCCATACGCAGCTACCAGCAGTTAAAGGTGCAGTGGCCTACAACTTAGGAAACCCAACCTCATCTCGAAGACTGAAGCCCAGACTGATCCAAGACATCATGTTATGAACAATTAATAATTTTCTCTTTATTAATTGTAATTATTCAATAATTATAATGTATAAATAGTTAGGGGTGTCTTTTGCAAAGACTATACCCCACCAGAACAAATTGTTAAAAATCATCAAATTGTTACAACAACCATGTAAGGCCCACCAGGCCGATCTGGTAATAAATAAATTTTAAAAAAATTTCAACCAACTCAGATCATAAAACAGCGTCCTTAAATCTACAAATTGACCTCTCCCTAATTGAATATACATACTAAATAGAACATACTAAATCTACTAAATAGAAAATCTAAACTTTCTATTGCAAAAAAAAATTACAGATGTACAAAATAATCTTAGTTCAAGAAACATATTTGGACCTATAGACTAGAACTTTGGGGACAGTAAAATATTCTAACATCAAACGTATCCAATTGTTTTAGACCAAAGTCCTCCGACAATAGTCGATCCTACGTTCTATGAAACCAACAAAATTCTACACCATGACCTTACCATTACATTTGTCCTAGACATTATCCCAGGAAAAGTATCCAAATTTCACCAGAACCGTAACACTCAGTGAGTAATCATTATTTTTAATCGAACTAATAAATATCAAAGATTGATTTAAATTTTGATTTATGAATCAGGTATAGTTTTTAAATTCAAATTCAAATATAATAATTATTACACGGTTTTGTGGAAAAAAGAATTAACAATTTCTAACCCTGGTTTATTTTATATTTTTTTCTACGTATTGTGTGAATGTGGTCTTAACACCATATAATCATTGTCCAAGTGACGTACCTCATCTCCTGTGCCAACGCTTATGGTTTTAATGATATGCGACAAAAACAAAAAGTAATTGGATTTTGGATTTTATTTACTGACCAATATCTAAATATTACCTATATCCTTGATATAATGGCAGTACTATCAGCCATAGTATTAGACTATAATTTTAACTATACTGCTCAAAAACAGTAGGGACATTTATATATGTTATTCTTATTAGATTCGTTTTTATTAAAATTTTCTATTTTTTCTTATGCTAGAGATTTTCTAATTTTTTTGTAAACATAAACAGTTAACAAGTATGCTTTATTTTTAATAAATTATTAACTAAAGGATTATTAATTCATGAAGAATACTCATTGTGTAAACCAATAGTTGTTTTTGACTTCAGAGATTCATGGAAACAGAAAGTACCAATAGCAGACCTGTAAGTGGATTACCTGCCAGCTCATTACGACACCACGATACATTACAGAAATAAAACAATACTTTGCATAGTGCCTGACCGATCTTATATGAAGGGGGACGGGGTGGCCGAGATGGCTAACGCGTGTGTACAGCATCGTGCGTTGCCCGGCAACCTGATAACCGAAGTTTGATATAAAAGAATAGTTAGAAGTTGTTAACGCTGCATATACTTAATCTTTCTTTTTTCATTATTATTTTTTCTCACCAACTCACTCTTTTGAATGTTAATTAAATAAATGCTTATTTATTTCATTTTTTTTTTGTTAAATCCTGGGGTAATTATTTCCAAAATATATTCAAAATATTCTAATATATATAATTTAAATATTAGGCATTATTCGCGATGTATTATCGCGTTTGTGTATACTCACCAGCTCGGCATTAATACTGAGTTTTAAGGATTAAAACACCAAAATACTGCGATAAGACTGCCGGAAAGCCAGTCTGGAGCGAGCTTTCGTCAATATTGAGTTCATGTACTGAACATCTTCCCCCACCTTCTCACTAGCTGCTCCAGTTAACTCAACCTAGTGTAGCGATTTTTCAGCACTAGGCAATCAGCACAGCTGATTGGCGCATCGGAATTCAGGAGCGAGCTTTCGTAGATATAGGGTCTATGCTGGAAATAAGTCGGTTCCCCACACCCCACCAGTTGCTCCTGACTCAACTCACCTAACGCCATTTTCTCACCACAGCTGGATAGATTGGCAGTCATCGATATGCATATCGATCTCCACCCCCCACCATCGAGTGCTTGAGGTATCAGCTGATACCTCCAAGGTAACCTCGTAGGGAGTAGGGGTTCTCTACTTCCCACTTGGGCTGTTTACATCGCTTCACTGTCTCCGAAAGACATTTTAATATAAATTTAATTTGCTTCTCTTAATACTGATTTTAATTTTAGAAGTTACTTTTATTATTTGTGTTTTATTTTTGGATGAATTTTTTTTTAAAATATTTTTTTATAGGATATTAAATTCATGTTTTATTGTTACCTCTGAATCTTTTATACTCTAACTTCATTAGTTTTTGTTTTAACTTTGTATATATATGTATATATAATATATATATATATTTTTTTTATTTTTTTATTTCAATACAACATATATTGTAAGCATTTAAAAGAGGGATTATTTATTTTTCATCTAGATTTATTGAATATTTTTATTTTATATTATTTGATGAATTTTATCCTCTTTTAAAGGTCTCATTTTTTCCCTTCTTTCCCATCGTTAAATTTTATTTCATATTTGAGGAAACTCAGCGGGGAAAGATTTGTGTTTCATTTTTAAATAACTCTGGCCCCAACACAATTTCAAATCTTAGTGCCCGGTGGGACTTTTAACTCGGAATAATTTCCTTGCCCTCTCCCCCGGTCCGGGGGAAAAAAAAGTGTAGCCTAAAAGGCAAGGAAGGAAAGACAAAAAAAAAAGAAGACCCTATATGAAGTATCTAATGCCCATATCAACTCAAACCATTTGTAATTGTTTATGGAAAGTTTATTTATGATCTTATGCCCCTTTAAGACGACCTGCAACTACATTCCGCCACCTTCTACTCCGCAGATTATGGTGCAGCGAGCGCCTTGATGAGTACAAACATTAGAATGCTGTGTTTACAAAGGAGTCGGTACCTGGAAGAGTATTAAAGGAAAAGAGGATTGGTAGAATGCCACAGTTTGTGCTTTCTTCAAAGGTGTCTAGAGGTGGGAGCATGGGCATGGGACTCGACTCCATATTGTGGAAGGCAACCTCATTGCAGATGTTCAAGAAATTATAGAGGAGTACATTTCTCAAACCAGGACCGTATGTGGCACAGATTTCCATTTGTTGACAATATACGACCTAATTGGGGAAACGTTGTTCATCGATGTCTTGAAAATCTGGACATTTCACATCTGCCACTTCCCATGTCTTCTCCAGTTCTCATTCCATAACCTTCTGCAACTGAGAGCAGTATTACCATGTCTATGGTATGAAATTCCTCGTGAAATCAGTGGCAGCATTATAAGCAATATTTCCAATAGGTGCAGAGAGGCAGTGCGTAACAGATGAGTTTTCACAAATTATTAGATTTTACAAAATTCTTACAATTCAAAATCATAAAAACAAAAACTTTTAATTTTATTATTTCTTTAAAACACTTTATATAAAAATCCTCTCGGTCAAATACAAAATAAGATTGTATTAATTTTCAATGCATTTTATATTAAAAATAAAATAAAAATTCTAGGGAAAATGAATCATACATAACTAACAATATCTCTATTCATTTTTGAGCAGTTTATAATAAATGTAATACAATATAGTATTTTTAATTTTATTGTAGTATGAAAAAATAAAGATGGAGAAAATGCCAATAAATTGAAAATAATTTTATTTTTATTACGAAATGAAGGCGTTTGTCGAGCAGAACAAGACAATCAAGTGGTGTCCACGTGCAGGATGCGGAAGGGCTGTTAAACTGCCCCAACTACTACCACAAGGAAATATGTCCCATGCAGTCGACTGTGGCAGTGGTCATTTTTTTTGCTGGTTAGTATATATATGTATACATATATATGGGTAATTCCACGAAAAGTGATCTTTTTTTGTAACTAAAAGTTTGTCATGGTTCAAATCCAGTAATTGCACTAATTTTCACATTGTATGACCAATTAAAATCTAATGTCATTTGTAAGGATATTTAAAAACGTCATTTAATTTCCAACAATACTACATTAGTTTAAAATGTAGAACATCTGGTTTCAAAATTTTCTGGGGAAGTAGACGAATGACATTCTATACTAAAATCACGTTTGTAGAGAAGAAGATAACATTTTTTAACAAAATAAATAGAACTGAAAACTACAACAAAAATCTACGTAAAACTGCTGAAAGTTAAACATTAACTGATTTTCTGTAGCTGGAGAACATGACCATATGAATGGGATCTAATAAAAATGCTTACCTTTTAGATTTGAATTAACCTTTTTTTGATACCTGTAACATGAAGTCTTTAGAAGAAATGTGCACTTGACATAAATATCGGAACTTGTGATGGTATTTATTGTTGGAAAAAAATTCATACTTCTTTTCGTACGGAAGTTTCAGAAGGAAATATGGGACGCCAAATGAATGACTTAAAACCTTAATGGACAGTGTTTTTTCAGTTTCAAGAGTCTATCCATTTCATGTTTTCATTAGGGTTGCCATTTCTTGGTAGTAATCAACAAAAATATATAATATAATTTCTATATGTAATAATACCCTTTATTAATGTTTAGAAGCTTGGTATGTACCCTGAGGGAAAGCCAGATAAATGACAAGTTGACTTTTAATTTTGGTCATGATGGTTCAGAGATATTTTGCTTGCATGAGTGGTTAACAATAAAAAAATAAATCTATTTTTAAATATGATATATTTTTTATTTTGAGCCACCAAATGTTTTGGGACAAGAAAAGATCACTATTCGGGTTTATAACTGATTTTATTTAATCTATAAAGTCAAATTACAAAATTTAAAGTATTAGGTTTGGTAATTCATTTTGTTTATTATTAGTATTTTATTTTATTGTCAGATGAATAGTCAATAAATTTCGCCACATGAGTTTTAAATATTAGAAAAGATGTGCAGACGCCGCAGTGCTCGAAAAATGGTTTACGCTGTGTATCGCATTTTATTTTATTGTTATTCATTTACTGCCTCACGTCTCATAACCAGAACTAATATTTATTTATCATTAAATTTATTATTCTTATTAAACTTTATCCCAGAATAATGTTGCTCTTTTTATTCTTTTTCTAACTATAGTTACTCAAAAATAGTTGCATTTAATGGTTATAGTTTCTTGAGTTTTTAGAACATATATAACAACTTTTCATTGCAGAACTGTATATTCCCTCCTGAACTGTCTTAGTCCAACTTTTGAATAAAATTTTCAACCTTACCTCACTGAACGACTTCCGTCCTATTTCTCTCCTATCCAACATTTTAAAGCCGATACAACGCCTTGTCCAAAATCAACTCTCCAACTTCCTAGAGGAACGTGCCCTTATCAACCCATTCCAATCTGGCTTTCGACCTGGCTACTCAACGCAATTATTTCTGACAATTGCTTTCCTTAAAATAACCCATGACCTCCAAAACTCCATTGAACGCCAAAACTTTACTATCCTCCTTTTTCTAAGTGTTTGACACAGTTGGCCATAACATCTTTTTTTTTTGGGTCCTCCCCTTCCTCGCTGTTAAGGCTATATGGGGTTTTCCCACGTCATCCTCCTGACTAAATTGCACAATCTTCCTCTATCCAACTGTGCCCTGCGTTGGTTCAAATCCCTTCTGATCCATCACTCTCAATACCATACCTATGCTGATGATTTCCATAGATACCTCTCCTGCCCGCCTCCCGACCTATTATCGGCCACAGAAAAACTTCAAGAAGACTTGGATAGGATTTGTAACTGGGCGAGAGCTAACAAGTTGATGTTGAATGCAGAAAAGACGAAAGCGCCCTTAAAACTGTTCCTAATATTCCAACTCTGTTTCTACATGATAATCCCATACAATTTTAGCTCTCCATTAAAAACCTTGGAATAACATTTGATCAAACGCTTTCCTGGAAAAAACATGTATCCAACATCTCCCGTCGTACCATTCCCCACCTGATTACTCCCGTCTCCTGTTGCCTCTTGAAACCCGTAGGCTCCTAGTCACTTCCTTAATTTTCCCCCACTTTAACTATTGCTGTACGATATATGGGGTCGTCCCTGGGATTTTCATATTTTTTTTTCTAAATAAGCATTTTCCAAAACGAGGGTCTATTATAAGGCTCCACTAAGTAGAGTTTTTCAAAATACTATCGATTTTATTTTAAACTTTCGAATATCAATTTATTGTACCTATGCTGATTTATTCGGTATAAGGGTCTAGTATTATGTTATCATGTACCCGGTTTTTAAAAATAATCCCTATTTTAAGATTTCGCCTTTCCAATTCAACCTTTTCCAAATCAAATTAAACTTTTTCCAAGTCAAATTCAAACTTTTCCATTTCAAATTAAACTTTTTCCATTTCAAATTCAACCTTTTTTGATTTATTTACTTATTTTTAATTTTTCGATGTGTGGGTCTGTCAACGTATGAGTAGTTTTTTAAAATAACCTCCATTTTAAGATTACGTGACTGTGTTTCGAATTATTTAAGTTTTTTTGATTTATTCGATATAAGGGTGTATTCTTGTGTTTCCAGAGCCGTAGGTTTTGAAAATGGCCTCCATTTTATGATTATGCATCTGCGTTTCGACATATTCAAGTTTTTCGGATTCATTCGATATAAGGGTGTATTTTTTTTTTTTTTTTTTTGTTCTTCCATACCTCGCCGTTTAGGCTATACGGGATTTTCCCGGGCCGGAGAGTGGAGGCGGGGAATTTAAAATCCCCTCTGGCACCGGGATGCGAACTCGTACTTTTCTTGTCTCTCAAATCTTCATATATCAGGTTGCCAGGGGACTCGCGGTGCAGTGCACACGCTTTAGCCTATTCGGCCACCCCGCCCCAAATTAGGGAGTTATCATATTCTCTACCACAATCTGAAGCGATTTCTTCTGGAACGCCGTAGAATGCGGACCACTGCATAACCCCTTTCCAAACTGCCCCAGGTGTTTTTGCCTCAATGGGATAGACCATCGCGAGTTTACTGAACTGGTCTATCGCCGTTAATGATTGTCTCTTGTTGGAATAAACGTAGCGGTGACTACTTGTGCGGCTACCGGAGGCTGTCTGTCGTACTTCCCTCGCTGGCAAACCGCGCACCGCTCTATATAATCCTGTACGCTGCGACCAATAACTTTCCAGTAATAAAGTAATTTTAAGGAAGAAGGGTCTCCTATATTCCCCGGTGATTCGTTTTTCCAGAGTGATGTTCGGTAACGAGGTTCTGTTGTGCCGCCCGTTCTGTAATCGTTTCCACCTGATGTAAACACCGAACTAGCGAGTATCCCATTCCTATTCTTTCCTGTCGCCATAACCTCTTTAATTTCTCTGCAATCACCCGGCTACCCACATAAATATAACAATTCCGGCCTGGGTTGCTAAATTCCACAAATATCCGTTTCAACGCGCTTTCATTTATCTAGATGGGGGTGTGACAACGCTTCGTGCGTGTTCGTCCTGGTTTCTATTCCGGGGTCCTGTTTAGATTTTATAATGATCTGATGTCTTTTATCATTAATCATCTCGTCTACTTCGGGTACTTCCGCGGGTCTGTCCGTCAGGGTGGCATTTTTCTCGGCCTCACTCTGGACTAAAGGGATCTTTCCACCCACTAACGTAGATATTACAACACTAATGGCTCCGCCGGGGTTTCCTCCTCCTCGATCGCGTTCACTACTAGGTCCCGCAATAGCCAATTGGCGACCGCATTGTCGACGCAATTGTTATGTATTTCATGGAAATCGTAAGCCGCTAACTGTTCTTTTCACCGTGTTACTCGTGCGGAAGATTCTTTAAGAGGTGTAATAAGAGCTTATGATCGGTCAGAAACTCAAACCATCTTCCGTATACGCAAGGTCGGAAGTATTCCAAGGCCCATACTACCGCCAAAAGTTCGCATTCGAGCAGTATTGCGTTTTTTGGCTTCCATTACCGCATCCTCAATCCGAGCGCGGGTGTCCAACCGCTAACCGGTTTCCTTTTGAACTCCTCGGGCATTCTCTAGCAACGTGCCCCGCCCTCCCGCACTCATAGCACCTCGTGAGCTTACATTGGGCTGCTACGTGTCCTGTTCGATTGTACTCATAGAAACGGCGTTCTGGTTTTCGTCTCCAATCGTTGAGGCCCCTGCTTGGCCTCTTTTCGAAGCCTCCGTTAGGGTTGGTCCGCTTCATAACGCTCCGTTGCATCGAACAAGTCGTGGGCACATCCTATAAAGCTTTGGTCTCATGGCAGGGATCCTGTGTGGCCCAAATAATGGTTCAGTTGCACCTTTAGCTCGCCTTTAGGGACTCCATCTTCTGGGCCCCCTCCGCCTAGCCTCATGTTTCTACCATCTTCTCCGTCAGCCTATTATATATCACCAATAGCTTCTCAGCGAACTCCCCTCCGATTGGCCCTGGGCTCGGTGCTCTTTAAATTAGTAGAAGACATTCTCTTCCGGGGTCCACCTGCCCCCACCGTATAGCCGTATCTATATTCTTGAGCCGTATCTTCAGCGACTCCCAGGAGAGCGTCAAGTCGCCCTGTACGGTGTTTAGAACTCGCCGCGAGATACGACCGATCAGAGAGGTCTTCAGCTGCCTTACGTCGGATTCCAGTAATGTTCCCACCTTCTGTCTGTTGGTTATCAAAGTTTTAATCTAGTCACCGCCTTTGATAAAATGCTCGAGGTCACCTGCCCCTGTAAACGGTGCTAGCTGGCTAATTACCTCGTGGATAAATGCCGAGTTTTGTACCCTTATTTTAAACAACTCAATTTGCGTGTTATCGGTCGCTTTCGATAGCTGAGTTTCCATCATCTGCCGCTCCGGTTCCAATTTCTGCTTCTCTACCGTAGATTG